CTGGTGATTCATTTTGCCTGTTCCTGAATTTCGTCTGTCTGGAGTTATATGTACAGTTTGTACTGAATCCCCAGAGCCTGGCCCAGTATCTGGCGCATGCCTTTCACGTGCAATGTGAAAGATGCCTTGGTTCTTAAACTACCCTATGAGAGAGCCTTGGTCCATTGGGAAACTGAGGCTGTGGGTGGTTAGTGACCTTCCCAGCACAGGAGGCCAGTGAAGTGATGGATCCTGGATGCCAGCCCAGGCTCCCTGATTCTGAATCTGAAGCTCCAGACTGGCCCCCTGCTGGCTCCCCCAGCCCCTCCCTCTGGGCTCCCTCTAGTGCTATGTGGAGTGAATCTGATAATCCTGGGCAGGCAGTGCCCCCTGCTGCCTGTGGGCCTGACCCCAGACCCTCCTCTCTGTGGGGATGAGACAGGATCACACAGGCCTGGATCCCAGAGTCCTGACTAGCCCTGACTAGCCCAGGGGAGGGGCATGTGGAATAAAGTCACCTGCCATTGTATTTTCTTCAGAAAAGAGGTTTTCCTAAGCTTTGGGGGCTTTCACTTCCCAGAATAAACAGACCCAGGGAGAAGAGGTCTTTTAGCCCTGACTAGCCCAGGGGAGGGGCATGTGGAATAAAGTCACCTGCCATTGTATTTTCTTCTGAAAAGAGGTTTTCCTAAGCTTTGGGGGCTTTCACTTCCCAGAATAAACAGACCCAGGGAGAAGAGGTCTTTTTGATAGAGCACTGCTGCCCCCAGGTGGGCGGCTGAGGACACCAACACAGAGCAGGACATCCGAGCCCCAGCGTTTTTCGGGTCTCAGATTCTGCTCCTCCTCTCCTGCAGATTCCTGGTCTCCTGGCCCCTGAGAGGCAGACGTCCATCAGGGCCATCACCCAGCACGTCAGCCTCGGCCTGGAGTGAGGGAAAGGAAGCACTGGGGGAGGGGCTCCCTCGGAGAACCAGCCCCAGCCGCGTGTGGGGACAGATGTGGCCCCTCACCTCTCTCCCTCCCAGGGGAGGGTGGACTGGACATACGCCTTGGAAGTCTGTCCGGTATTAAGCAAGTGTTTATCAGGTTAGATCAAGGTTTGATCCGGGAGCTTGATCTGAAGGGGCACGGGGTGGGGGGTGAGGGAGGCCTGGCAGGTGGGCAGGCGGCGCCTCCTCTCTCGCTGGGCGTGGGCGCTGTCGGCGGGCCTGGGCCCCTCCCAGCGTGGCTCGGGGCCTTCTGTCGCACCTGCGGTCGCGTGGCGGTGTAACGGCCCACCTGCCTCCTGTTGGCACGTGGCCTGAGGCGATGCTATCTCTAACTCAGTATTTTTAACTCTTCTTTCCAGAGGATGTGGCTTCTGCGGGAGAGCTTCAAAGGGTGCCTTATTTGCCCCTCTCAGCACCCATGACGTCATGGAAACGGGAGGGGGCTGCCCCAGCCCCCAAACACCTGGAGGGAAGTGGGGACTTTTTCCACTTCCTGTTCTACTTCTGGCTACTGACTCAATGTCTGACCTGCTTATTGATTTCCAAATGTAGCTGTATGTGTGACCCAGGGGAGACCAGGCTGCACCGGAGGCCGCGCTGGTCATCTTTAAAAAAAAAAAAAAAAGTATTGCATAGGGCCCCCCCCCGCCCTATTGCCCAGGTGGCCTTTACACCTGATCCTGCGGCCTCCCCAGCAATCTGCATTTATTAACAAGAATGACAGCACGAGGCTCCAGACCCGCCCATCTCAGTCAGAAGCCCTGTTCCCCACACAGTGCTGGAGGAGGTAGATTGGAGGCGGGTTTTAGGATAGAACACGTGGAGAAACTGAGGTGAAAACGTGAAGTGGCCTTTGGCCCTGGGCCTTGGTATGGTCATGTGGTGACTGTGGCTCAGATTTCCAGGTGCCCTGTGAGCTTTCCCACAGTAACCATTCTCCAGTCCTGACTGGGTGGCCAAGTGCCTACTGGGGGGCTGCCCTGGCCAAGGGGCCACCATTCAGATTCTGGCTTTTTCTGACAGTTCTTGACAAGTTACTCTTAGCTCTTGGCAAAACTGTGAAATAATGGCCCAACTGGCCACCTCCTCTATTAATCCCCACTGTCCTCTCTGGTATTCCCCACCGTGCAAACTCAGCTCCCTCCCTAATGCCTAACACACTAATCACTCATGGCATCCGTTGTATGCCAGGCACTGTGCTAGCTGTTGGGACAGTGAGCAAAGTACACCTCCCAGGGAAAGTGGACTTCCTTGCTGGGATGTTACCTGATAATAAGGTGATATGAGGACTTTACGTGTACCCCAGGGGAGTTAGATTTTATGGGTGAATCAAAAAAATAAAATGGTCCTTTACGACTCAGATGGCTGCCCCTAATGGTGCGTAGCAGCAGAGGGGTTGCTCGGTTGGAGCTGAAGACCCCACCCTGCTGCTGCTTAGGCACACACTCACACAGCTTGCCCTTCCTCCTGACTGGACTGTGGCTCCAGTTGCACTCGGAGGGCAGGTCTCTGAGTGAAGTGTCAGAGAATCCTCTATAATCTTAGGCCTGGGGTCATGAGAGTTCATTTGGCACATTTTTTCTGCTTCCAGGGCTGGCCTGTGCTTAAGCCTTCTGGGGCAGTAGGGCGCTTGTCCAGAGAAATTCATTCTATGATTTACCTTGGTAACTAACATGTTCCCTGCTGGGCTTTTGGCATTGCCATGAGGCTGGGCCCAGGCTGCAGCTGCAGCCCACTGCCCGGGCTCACAGGGACTGGGGTCATCAGGGCAGGGCTCTTTATGACCATATCTCCAGGTCTCCTCAGCTGCCTCTTCCCTTCAGGCTAAACAATGCCCATTTCCTTACAGCGGGGCCCTCTGCGCTGGCCCCAGGCCCTGCCCTGATCTTCCTGGTAGGCACAGGAACCCTTCTTCTGGTCCTCCTCCCAAGGCCATTTTAATTCTCTCTGACATCCCAGGTGGGTCCTGGAGCCAGGCATGAGGTCAGAGTGGTCAAAGATAGATGAACTCTATGCTTTGCTCCCAGCACTTGCTCACCTGCAACTTACTTGCACCTGGCCCACTCCTCTGACCTCAGCCCTAACTGGCTTTAGGTTTAACAGCCTCAGACATGAGGGAAGGGTCTTGCTGGGTTTGAGGAACTCCTGGTTTAGGATGAAAATTTCTCAGGGGGTGGCTGACCCTTTTCTCCAGAAGGGTCTCCCAGGCCTTGTCACTCTGTGCCTCAGCTTAGGCTGGGCCTGGAAGGAGGAGGACTTACTCCCTCCATGGGCGTGGGTGGATCCACAGTCCCTGCTGCATCACCTCATGTAGGTCTTCGGCAGCCAGTGACTGCTGGGCCCTGCCGTCCAAGGGCATTGGGCTGGCACAACTCCACAGGCTCCCTTAGGCCTTCCTCAGTCTGGGCCTCCTCTGAGGTTCTTGGAGGTGTCTGTCTTTGGCCCCTTCACTGCCTTCCAGGCTCCTGCCCTCTGCCCCAAGCCCCTGTGTCCCCTTCAGCCTCAGCATCACTGCAGGTATAGTTCTGCCTCTCCAGACACCCACACTTCCTTCTCCTAGATCTTTTTTATACAGAGCAAAGAGAATTACCACTTTAAGGGGGGAAAAAAGAGACTAATTTGCCCGAAGTTTTTAATGGTTGATAAAGGCTTGCTCTAGTAACCCCTCAGGGGCATTTTCATTTAATACAGGGAAGAGAATGCTTTAATTAAAAGAAATTCCCAGTGGTGGAATCTCTGGCATTTTGTCAAACTGATGAGGAGGCAGTTTTAAGCAAGAGTCCTCCTGGAGTTCCCCCAGGTGGCAAATCCCACTTTGGGAAGGCAGTACCTGTCTTCCCATGTGAGAGTGACCCTGCTATGATGGGATTTCCTCTGAGACCTTCCCCTTTTGTGATCTTTAAAGTGATGTATTCAGGCTGGAGATGAGGCAGCTCAGAAGGAACTGGGATCCCATGACTACCCATGGCAGGGCTGACCAAGAAATGGGACGCTTGTTCTTAGTTACAGGTGGTGACCCTGGAGCTCGTAGAGGGGAGAGACATGCCCTAGGTCACCTATTAAAGCTGGTAGCTCCATCCCTATGAAAAGCAACAGGCCTGAACTGTAGCTGGAAGGATTTGAATTCTTCTGGCTGGTGTGGTCAGAGACACACAGGTGAACCACAGAGGAATTTGGGGATAGGATCTCCTCCACCTCTGGGAATTTATAAGCACTCAGCTTTGGCCCTGTTAGTGGTAATTGTCAGGTGGGTGGCTGACTGGTCTCTGGGGTGTGTTCTCATCAGCATCTGTGACCCTGAGGAAAGGTGCTCTGTCAGCAGGAGTCTCAGAAGAGAAAGCAGTGTGCCCTGGGGCCCCAGCGGATCACCTCTTGTCCCTCTAAGGGGAGAGCTTGAGACATCCACTCTCCTTGGCCAAGTCCCTGGGCTTGAGGGGAGAGAGCACATCTCCTTATTTCTCGTTCGCATGTCCGGTGGTGGGAGTGTAAAGTCCTCCTGGGGTCACAGCCTCCTTCCAACACTGCTCCTAGATGGGGCACCTCCAGGGGTTGGGCACTGGGCTGAGACCTGGACAGTGCAGTGGTGGGTGGTCCCCAGCTGTGAATTTGTGGGGCAATGCAGAATTTCAATGGAAATTCTATCTGAGAGGAAAGGCAATGTTCCTGGAGGGCAGGAGACAGTGGGTGGCATTTTGGGGACATTTGCTATGTGGTCCTTGTCTGCTAAATTTACACTACAGACCACTACCACCCATGTGTTTGGGCCTCCTGCTATGGGTGGTCCTGTGGTGTGGCATGAAGATGAAAGAGCAGGGGCCCAAGCTTTTAAGTGGGTTTTCCTGGTCCCCAGCAGAGCCTGCTAAGTGGAATTTTTTTAGAGGTTATTCCAAGCAGAGGTTGACTTCAGCAGTTTGTTGAGTTAGGCTCCCTGGACAGCATTATGGACAAATGCCTTGGTTTCTCTCTGCCCAGCTGGTGATCAGCAGAAAATGACCCCAGCCAAACCCAGTGAAACAGGAATGCAGTCTCTGCTCTACAACATCACTTTTAATGAAGCCAGGGCAGCAGATACACAAGTGGCTCAGATGCACAGCATAGCAGGGCCTAGATAATGAGGTACTTTTCCCCACATCTTGGGGAAAAGGGGAGTACATATTTCTTTATGAACACTACTTTAAAAATACAAACTCCTCACAACATTCTCCAGGAGCTAGAGTCCAAGAGCCCTCACTGGGGAATCCCTCGTCCAGTGGGAAGGCAGAGGTGGTCTTTGGGGAGGGTCAGGCAGTGACAAGCAGCCATGAGGGAACACAAGGGCGGCAGCAGTGTGTGGCAGCTCCTCAGCAATCTTCATCACAAATTCGGGTGGCATCCAGTTGATGGCATTGCCAGTGAGGGCCAGAGGGGTGGTGGGAGCCTTTTCCTCTGCTTGAAGAAGAGGAGGAGGTGTGGTGAGGAGGAAGGCAGGAGGGAGCCCAGCTCTCTCACAATCTTGCAGACCTGGGATGAGGAAGAGCAGAGGTCAGGGTGGATTCTGAGGGGGACCCGGGACTATTGGGGGCATGAAGGAGATGGCTCTGTCTGGGGCTGTGCTCTAGTGTTCTAGGAGCAAACGGACCCTGGAGTTCTGTTTGATGGTGGAAAGGGATGTGTTTTTCAGTGAGATGGCTGGGGACACTGGGGAGGAGGGCATGGAGACTCCAGCCAGGACTAGGATGTGCTATGAGTGAGCTGAGCGTAATGTCTTCTCACTGCTGAGTTGGGAGCCAACTGGGGAGAGAGGGCATGAAGAGAGGAATCAGGGGCCCCTTTAGTCCCACAGTGAAAGAAGTGTGACAGAAGGCGTGTGGTGCAGATGCATCTGGGTCCTGCGTTCTCTGTTCTTCCACTCATCAACAGTGTGGTCCTTGACTTACTTGGTCTCAGTTTCTTCATTTCTAAAATGGGATAACAACTGATCTTCATACCTCATAGGGGAGACATGGCTCAACTGAGGTGGTAGGAATGAGTGTGTTCCTCTTATCCATTGTCATGAATAAGAGGAATGTGTAACAGGAAAAAATAGAGGAGTGTGGTGGGCCTGGACTTAGGATTTAACAACGAGACCCTTTGGGGAGTTTTGCTCTCAGAGCTTGGGGACCCACCCGAGACCCGCAGCCCCGACTGCCAGCTTTGATGCCCCTCACCTTAGCTGGACCACAGCCGCAGCGTCATGAGCAGGTTAAATCCAACCACTTTCAGGAGGAGGATGCGGAACCCAATCACTGACAGGTTTTGAAAGTTTAGGTTCATATCTGTAAAACCAAGAGGCCGCAGTGGTTATGGGTGTGCACGTCAGAGGTCTGCACAGCTCTGCATGATGCACCAGTGGTTTTCCCAAAAGCAAGGTGGGGCGGGTGGGGGTGGGCTTCACCTCCCGGATCTGCATCTCCCTCAGAGCTTCTGCCTCTCCCTCATCCACTTGCAAACATATTTTTATTTGTGCATTCCTCCAGGGTCAACAGTGGTTTTTTACAGCAGCAACAGTGGACTTATTTTATTTCTGAGCCCCTTTGGGGCTGGAGCTAGGGATAGGTGCTCAGAACTTATAGCAATGCCTGGGGTGTGGGCCCCTTAGTGAGAATCTAGAGGCTGAACCACAGGAGGGATGACTTAGTGAGAATGACTCAGATGGAAACGACTATGGGCCTAGGGTTGTGGTGAGGAGTGGTGGGGACCCTAGAGACAAGATCACTGCCTGCAGCCTAGTGAGTAATTTTGCTTTCGTTGACAGAAGCAAATCCCCTGGCTATGGAGGGAAACTGTCCCCTGGATGTCCCGGTTAGTCTCGGGTTATATCTAAGGGAGTCAAATTTCCCGGCTGGGCCACCCAGAAGCTCTCTTTGCCTCTCCTGACAGTGGAGCTATTGAAAAGAATACAGAGGCCTAGGAGTGAGTCATTGGTCAAGTACAATTAGAGACTCATTCTCAAAGTACTTAGAATGGAAAAGAAGGTTGGACATGGTGAGAGGGATTCAAGAAAGACCCCAGGGAGCTCTGAGCAGGTCTCCAACTGCTGTTTCCATTCCTCATAACTTATTCCCAGATTTGCTGATTTCTTCTCACCTCCCCTAACCCGTCAGGGTTATTGTGGGTTCATGGCTTCCCCCACCCTGTGCAAAGCTGGGCTAGATCACTCTCTTACCTGTTTCAAAGCTTTTCTCTACCAACTTGGCATCACAGGGAATCCCTAAAAGGAGAAACAAAGAAATGTTCTTAGAATTCAGAGTGTGCTCACTCTCCCAACCCAGACCTCCTACTTGTCGAGCAAGTGAACATTCACAGTCTCTTCATGCTTCTGCATGGAGAGATCTTGCAGCGAACTTATTGCATGGGGGACCTGCTGGAGAGAGCCACTGGCCCTGGAAGGACCAGCACCCTGGCTGCTGGGCACCTCTTTATTCACTCAATGAACACTGGTTGTGCAAAGGACATGTTGATGACACAGGCTACAAGGAACCATCACACATAGTAGTTCCTGCCTTTGGGCAGGCTCCAGCCTGGAGTCCAGCAGGGGCTGTGAGACTTATACACATTGACAAGGGCTATAGGAGTGCAGATACTTTTATTGGTTCCAAAAGTTTTGATCCCTGCATTCCAAATTTTTTCCTTTGCTTTCTCTGTCTCAGTAAATGGCGCTATCATTAACTCAGCTGCTCAGGATTGCATAAAATCCAGCAATCTTCCTTGATCCCCTCTTCTCCTCATCCCTGCATGGTTCTATCTTTGAAACCCAAATGGCACTGGCCACTCAATTCCCTGCTGTCACTCCACCCAGGCCTCTACTGTCTCTCTGCCGCCGTCGCTCCCTTCCTGCTTGCACTCAGCCTACAATCTATCTCCACACAGCAACCAGACCAATCTTTTAAAAAAGTAAATTAGATGTCACTCCCCTGCTTAAAGCCAATCAATAGCTTCCCAGCATACTGAGAACAGCACCTGTCCTCTCGTGGCCTGTGAGGCCCTGTGATGTGGCCCTGTCTACATCTTCCTACTCATTTCCTACTACTCTTCCCCTTTTTCGTTGTGCTCCTGCCTCAGGCCTCCACAGGGTCTACTATCTGCCCTTGGCATGGCTGGTATCCTTTAAGTCTCAGCTCAAATACCATTTCCCCTGATTTTTGTCTCTAAAGTGGCTGTTTCCACAATGTATGTGCATCCTGAGTTAAAGCACATACAAATCTGAAGTTTAGATCTTCCCCTGCTGATGGATGGGCTTCCCCAACTAGACTGAAGCTCCCTCTGGGAGCCTTCTCCTCTGACTATTCAGTTCTCTGCTCCAGCCCCTGGTGTATTGTACCCACACAATCAATGGTTGTTGAATGAATGAGTGACCGAGTAAGGTCAGGAGTTGGGGAAGATCTTTTGGCAGTGAGAAATAAGGGAGCCATCTTAGGGGCCAGTGCCCTCTCCTGCCACCTTTTCCTCATTTGTTTTTTGACATTTTGTGGGCTGCCAGGGTGGGGCTCACTGCTCCTTAGTAAAAAAGAGGGTGGGATCTTTGCTGACAATTGATGAGTCTGAGACCACCAATCAGCACAGCTTTTAGACCCCATTGACCTGAGCACCAGGCAGAACCAGGCCTCTCAAAGCCGGGAGACTCAGCTTGCAGAGGCACCCAGGTGCACTCACCTAGGCTGGAGTAGAAGTTGTTCCCACTGAAGGTGCTTGTACAGTTAAAATCAGTTCTGCTGCTCCAGGCTAAGATGCTGTTGCTCTTGGAACTCATGGACTGCATGTCCGTCACTGTTTGTTCTGAGATGAATGTTTCAGACTCTGAGACGTGAGACACATTGACTTGAGAATCAAAGTCCGTGAATAGGCAGATGGAATTGTTGCTGGATTTGGAATCCCTCAGCTGGTACACAGCAGGGTCAGGGTCCTGGATAACTGTAAGCCAAGAAGACTGGGGTCAGGACATGCTCTTGTTTCCCTCTTTGCTCCAATCTAGCCCAGAGTCCAGATGCCAGTGATGGACAAGAGCAGGGCTCCATGGGGCTGGCAAGTCACATTCTCAGGCTTTAAATGGAAAATAACATTTTAGAAACTGGTTGCTCATGATGGACTGGAACTTAGGGGACAGGCACAGGGGTGAGTCCTGGCCAAGAGGCCAGGCTCTGCCAGTCCCTGCCTGCCATTCAAGGAAACCAGAAATGCAGGGCTACTTACTGATATTGCTTATTGTTATACTTAATTGGAACTTCTTCAAAACCTTAGCAAGACTTGCAAACAATATAGCTCTGGCAGGACAAAAGCAAGCTTCGGAAAAAGGTCCAGCAAAGTAAACCACACATCTTGGAATCTAGAGTGGTCTCCCTTTTTAGGCTGAGCATTGGCAGGAATTGGAGGTTTATGATATGTTGGCATTGCGCTGAAAAATCTATCACATTACCAGATTTCTCTCTCACTGATAAAAATTTTAGATTACAAATCAGAACACCTGCATCCAAGCCCTGACTCAACTATCTACTAGATATAAGGCCTTGAGCAAGTCTTACCAGCTCCTGAAGTCTGAGGAATTTCATCCGTAAAATGAAGCTGTTGCCTCATCCACCTTCCTAACCAGTCTATTCTGAGAAAAAAATGGGAGTCTGTCCATATAGAAATATATTTAATAAACTATAAAGTACTGAACAAATGTTAGTGGTTGGAGCTATTGATACTGCCAGGGTATTGCCATGATAACGTGCTACTAAGTAATACAAAGTCAGTTTCTGCTCTTCACCCCCACGAAGCAGGAGTTACTGGAGGCTTTTTCTTAGTGCTGAGACTCATTCCTTAGTATTTCCGTAGGATTTTGTGTTTTTAATGTGACTCTCATTGTTTATTCTTTCTGACCTCCTTCCTTTAGAGGAGGAAGCAGAGGTTTGCCGGAGGATAGAGAGTTAACACTTTGGGGCCACCCAGCGAGTTTCCAGCAGGGTTGGGATTAGAACTTCCTGCCCCAGTGGTTCTCTGCTCCCACAGCTCCCCACCATGCACACAAGGTTTCTCAGAGCCTGGTGATGCACCCCACTTGCTGAGCCAGCCAGGGTGGCCTTGGCAGTGCAGACATCCAGCTGGATCCCAAACTAAAGAAACCAGTCCTTGGCATGGTCTTGGGACATGGAGTCAAGGCAGAGCTGCCAGTAGCATGGGGCTACACTCGCAGTGGCAGAGCAGGGGGTGGGCTCTATGGTCAGATGCGTGTGTGGGGGGGAGGGACACATCCAAAACTCTGGCCGCAAGGATTCTGCTTACTTCCCTCCAACCTCTGCATAGCTGGGGAGCCTGATATCACATGGATTAAGTCTAAGGCATAACTCTTACTGGAGGGGAGAGACAGGAAGCCATTTGATCCACCAACACTTCCCAATGGATTTGTTTGTTACCAGTGGTGGTCTCGGGTAGGACTGGGAAGGGGAATATGGAAGAATATGGAAGTGCTGAGAAAGTGTGACCTTGAGGGGAGGGCAGAATATCAGGTGCTATCAGATGCAGTTTGACTTTAGAGGGGAAAGGCAGATGCTGTGGGGGGCAGAAGCCCAACATCAAGTCCAAGTTAAACACTCACTCAAGTCCTGGGGCCAGTGGGTGTCAGAATGGAGAAGGTCTAGACCATTCTGTCCAATACAATATGCAATAGCTACTTGTAGCTATTTAAATGAAAATTAACCAAAATCAAAATTCAATTAAAAATGAAGACTTAATTTCAAGAGTTCAATAGCCACATGCATGCAGCTGTGGCTACTGTGCTGGACAGTGTAGATTAGCAAAACATTCCCATTGTCACGGAAAGTTCTACTGGACAGTGCCGAACGTGAGATTTTGAGGAATGGCTACAGGGACTGAGGGCGAGACTTAAAAACCACCTTTAAGTCTATGAGGGGTGACTCTACCAGAGGCAGGTTAATTACTGCTAAATTTTGCCAACGAAAGATCAAGATGAAACAGCAATAACATGAAGTCAGAAGAAGTGAGGTGATTTTTATCCTCTCTCAAATCTTGCTTCCACCAGTCGATACATTTTGAGCTTTCCAACCTGCTTTTTTGCCATTGTTTCACCTGTCCAGCTTACTACCTCATTTCTTATTTTCATACAAAAAAAATAAGGTTTCAGTAGAGGTACTCAATATTTTTTACCCCCTCTTACTTTCATCCCCATGTACCTCTAGTGCAACCTTATCTTTTTATCTGAAAATAAGAAATGAGTCACTTTTAATCTGGACTTCTTTAGGGGTCCACCTGCCAGAGCCTTGTGGGCAGAGACATCACATTCCACCCTAGCAGGAAAAACACACCCTCCCACTGATGATATCGGAAGGTAGCCTTAGCAAGAGTGGATCAATTTTTCAATGTGGAAGTTCAGCTATTTTATATCCTAACCCATTGTTTTAGTTCAAAACTAACTGCAGAAGCACTTGTCTGAGTGTGTGTGTGCTTCAGATCCCCAGGAGCACAGCAGTGATAGAAAGCTCCTTTATCACTCAATCTGTGCTCTGTAGTTAGGCATTAAGAACCTAGAAATGAGCGTTAGCAGCACTGACTCTGGCCCCATTGAGTTTCTGGTGAGCATCAGGAAATAATGAACATGAGCAGACTTACCGGGAATAATGGAAACTCTGGTGCCTTTGCCAAACTGCAACTGGTAGGCAGCACCTTCGTACCACTCCCAATGTCTCCATTACAGAAACCATTAGGGTTCTCTGCCTCTGCAACATGGGATGACCCCTCTTTGAGCCCACTGAAGAAGGAAGGGGTAGGTCCCTATGTCATGAGCCATTCATGGGAACAGCTGGCTTCTCTCACCTTCACATTTGGTCTGCATTTCTAAGTTGGATTCTCAGTTTCCTGGTGGCTGGTCCTGGCTCTATTTTCTGCATTCTCTTGAATGCTCTAGTATTTCTTTTCTCCATTGTCTAAGAAGACATCTTCTTTGTCTTTTTCTCCATCCAACTTTATTATCAGATGTGTTTACTTAGGCCAAAATGCACAGGCCTTGTTCATACTCAAGACCATGCCTTCTTTCTTGTTGTTCCTTATGCCTGGAACTCTCCTTCTCTCTTTTCTCTGCCTCTACAGACCTTACCCATCCTTCAGAGTTCAACAAATCCTTTGTACCGCATAAAACTTTCTCCATCTAGGACAACTTTCTGGCCAGGCCTCTATCTCTCTGAATCTCTATTATGCCTATGGACATCATCAACTGGTTAATACTAAAATAGTTTTCAAGTTGCTAAATTTACAATTCTTCTTTCTCTTTGGCTAGTTTTTATACTATTTGGGGACAGGTCAGGCATCTATCTTAGACTTCTTCATACTCTGTAATATTTTAGGGAGTGATAGTCACATAGACGGCATTAAAATTATCCATTGAGGGCTGAGCCCGTGGCGCACTCGGGAGAGTGCGGCGCTGGGAGCGCAGCAGCGCTCCCGCCATGGGTTCGGATCCTATATAGGGATGGCCGGTGTGCTCACTGGCTGAGCACGGTGCGGCCCATCTCAAACAAACAAAAAAAATCCGTTGAACAATTAAAGTCCAATTTTAATGTGTTTGACCTGGAGAAAACACAGATATTCAAGATTGACAGTGATGCTTATTCCCTTTCCAGGCCTTTGTAAGACGGTTAATTAATTACAATGTCCATAGTTAGCCTCACCATAGTAATAACTGATTTCCCCAAGGAAAGGACTAGAACACTGGCCTATGGGGTTGCAAATGGTGACCCCCCGGGATGACTCACCAGATATTATGGACACTTGAGCCCCTTTCCCAAATGTGAGTTTGCCAATCATTCCTCCAGTATTTGCACCACAGATGACACCATTGCAGAAACTCACAGGACGTATCTGCTACTTAAATAGGGGAAGTCCTGTTCACTCACAGGACAGCAGAATCACACTCCTCAGAGTTAGTCCTTTTGGCCTTTTGTATTGAGATTTTATCTCTGATATGTACAGTTCTTTTCCTACTGCCCTATTGTGCTGTGGTGCCCTGGGATGAGGTTGTGATTTTATGTGATTTCAATAAACCAAGAATTCAGTAAAGCAAAACCCCTACTCAGGGCAGCAGCATCTTGTATCCTCTTGTGGAAGGTCCAGGACCACTTGCTCATCACCTGCCTCATGAATCCTAAGGTCCCAGTCTAAGGATCATGCCTCCCGAGCACTGAGTGATGGATGGGAGGATTTTCTGGGGATGGGTGGAGAGAACCATTTGAGATCCTACAGAGGAAAATACCTGGGTACAAGTCAGCATCTTGGACAAAAAAGAATTAGTTGTCAATGTCCACCCTTTTCCTACTCTACTTACTTGGCTGGATGCTCAGTCTGGTCCCTGTTCCAAAGATTAGCTTGGGAATGCTGCTGTACCCTACTGCAGGGTACCTTCCTGATGCTATTCTGCTAGAACCCACTGGTCTCAAGAGTGCCGTCCTAAAAGGCTCACTGGGTCTTTGCCTCTTAGGTCTTCTATTTCCCAAGGAAGCTGTTTGCCTTTCCATTTACAGCCATGTAAACCTTAGTACAGCAAAGCCTTGACAGTGACAGTAATAATAATAATTTAGAAAAGCTACCCTTTATTTATTACTTGTTATATGCTGCGCATTATCTCATATTATTATGATGTGGTTATTGTCATTTTGCTGTTGAGAAAGTGGAGGCATTACTGTTGAATACTGCTGATAAGAACGGAGCCAGATTTTCCCCAGTTTTGTTGGCCTCCCTATACATTACTGCCTCCATATGTAGTTATTTCATGTGCTATATGTGCCATTCAGACAGGGGTCTGGGTCACTTTTACCCTTGCGAGAGGGTTCAAAACTCTACTAAACTCCAGAGAGGAAGATTCTATGAGCAGGTATCCCACACCTGCTCATTAGCCAAACCAGGGCGTTTAGCTACCTACTACAGTAAAAGAGAATTTGTTTGTCATTAACTCATTTCTTTCCCCCAAGGGCACTTAGCTAATTTCCTGAATGTTCAGATTATCTGGTGCTGATGTTATTGGCTTCAATTAAAAGCACCGAGTGTCTCAACTCTTTTTATGTTTTTGTAAATTATTCTGCTCAGATTTTCATTTATTTGATTGGCTCTTGGCATCTCTATCTTTCATATGAAAAATGGGAAGATTTTAAGTCACTAAGGGGAGCTTTAGAAATGGAAAATGAGTGCTTCCTATGTCCCTAAGTTTGCTGTAAATCATTGCCTGTTTTCTCATAGACAAGTCGGCAGTTCTTTTCGCCCTGGTCATTTGCATGTTCATACTCACGTGGGTGCACAGCCAGCCTGGTCCCTGCTCCAAAGGTCACCTTATCGTAGCCACCAGACCACACACAATAGGAGGGTGCTTTACAAGAACTCTAATGTGGGCAGGACCAGCCGGGCTGGGGCACTCTGCCTCCTGCCCCTATTTTTCAGGCTCCTCCAAGTCAACCTTTCTGTGACAAGAGAGAAAAGTCTCACCCACTGGGTCTTAATTCTTCAGCTTTCTGTGTAATAACCCCACAGACCTCTTCCTCACAGCCAGCCTGAGCCTGCTCAGGCCTTCCTGGAGGGTGGATGCCTATTCT